TTGTATAATGTCTTTATTAGATTGGGCTGATGTTCTTTGGGGAGGAAGATCACAGAGGTGATGTGCCATTGTTATATCATATCAAGGGTATGTGCCATGGAAATGCCCTATTCCTAATGATGTTAATATTCATAACCTGGTTAAAATAGTGGTTGCTTGGTTTCTCTACTATAAAATTATCTCCTACACCCACACCACACATACAGCTTTCAAAACTCTTTAGAAGCAAGTCACTAAGCATAGGCAATATTTAGAGATAGTTGAATACTTGTAGGGAGTAGGATGTACATAAATTACTGGAAATTTTTCTGTATACCAGATATGCCTAATCTACCCCATTTAATTATTTATTAAATCATTTATTTATATTGGTGACTTATGACTACTTAAGTTATACTTTGGCTTATAATCTAAAACTACATAATTTGTAATTTTGTTCAAATCATTAAAACTCTGACATTTTAGAGGTCTTCTAGGTTGGGTCCTGTGTGCCTTTTTCATAATACTTTCATTTTTGAAGTAGTTAGGCTAGCTCTCAGCATGACTTTTCATTGTTTACTTTTTCTTGGGGTTAATTGAGTTTCTTGGGTTTGTGAGTTAGTAGTTTCCTAGAGACACTGTAACAAATTGTCAGAATTTGGGTGGTTTAAAACAACATAAATTTATTATCTCACAGTGACAGGGCAAAGAAATTTAAACTCAGGGTGTCAGCATGACCAACTCCCCCCTGAAAGGCCTAGGGAAGTGTCCCTCCTTGCTTTGTCTAGGTTCAGGTGGTTGCCTTGAGTCACTCCAGTTTCTCCCTCTGCTTTCATATGGCCTTCATACCTGAATATATGTCCAATTTTTTCTATCTTTATAAAAACACAGGTAATTGAATTAGATAGCCTAATCCAGAATGATCTCATCTTGATTAACTACATTACAAATTTTCTGTTTGTAAGTAAGGTCACAATCAGGATTAAGATGGACTCAACTTTGGTGCATGTGTTGAGAGGAGGATAGCAAATTATTCAAGTCATTGGAGTTAGTATTATAGCTTTCATTAAACTTGGAAAATGTTTTGCCAAATGTTTTTCTTCTAGTATTTTTTCTTCATCTCCCCCTTCTGGAATATTATTATACAAATGTTAAGCTATTTTATATACTCTCAGGTCATTGATACTCTGATCTTTTATTTTCCTTTTTTCTTTCTGTGAATCATTATATTTTTATATCTTTAAGATCACCAACCTTATCTTTTACAGTGGCTAATCTGATTTTAATCCCATTTAGTGTTTTTGTTTGTTTGTATTTTCACATTTCAAGTATTCCAGCTCTAAAATTTTCATTTCAACCTTTGAAAATATTTTCCATTTCTTTTCTTATGATGCTTATTTTATGCATTGATTTCCTTAAATCCATTAAATATATTTATAAGGCCATTTCAATGTCTTTGTCTCCTAATTCTGTCATCTCTGCTCTTTGAGATCTGCTTCTATTGTTTTATTTTTTTCTTCTGGTTTTGAATCAATTTTCTTCCTTTGCAAAAGCTTTATTTTTATTGAATGATAGATATTGTGATTTTTTTTTGTTTTGTTTTTGCTGTTTACTGGGTTTGGTTCTGTCCCTTGAAATCATGTTGGATTTTGTTCTGGTGTAAAGTCAATTTAGGATCAGTTGCATTCTTTCAAGTCTTTTGTTTTGAACTTTGTTAGGGCACATTCAGAGCAGCCTTGAGTTAGAGGCAATGTAGCACCAGAACTAAGATAGTACTAATCTGTAGACTCTACTTGATGCCTTCATATTATGAGGCTTTAACAGTGGCTGGTAGGACATAAGCTATTCTTGGCCCTGTGTGAATCCTAGAATTTGTTTCAAATTTTCAATTGCTTTCTAAAACTCATCCTTGGCTTCTTAAAAATTATGCAGACATTTAAATAAAGTCAAATACAGAATACAAAACTCTTGATAAATGTGATTTCCAATTCACCTTCCAATGTAAGTATTCATAGGATAACCAGTCTTCAAAAAGTTTATGAAGCCATAGAATTATAGTCCAAAAAAAACTTTCTCCATGTGTTTGGTCCAACTCAACATCTATGGTGCTTTAGTTTCTTCTATGGCAGTCACATCAACTGTCATCTAGTCTTAAGTTAAGCATCCCAGTGATAGAAATCCCTAAAGATATTTGAATTAAGTTATTAGAATCCTTGTGAGTCATCTCTTTGCCATGGTATATTTGTCTTTCCTCAGCTTTTACATGCGACATAATATTGAGCCCTGTTACAACAAATGATGGGATTCTCCAATTGTCTTTGAACTTACATCATCAATTCTGCATACATAGTGCTATCTTGTTAATTAATTATTGCCCAGGAGCTCTTTTTTCTTTATATATATGCACCTCTGATCTTCTACTTACTAACATCCTATTCTATACACATATCCCTCCACCTCCCTTCATCAAGACTGATCTATATCTTCTCTCATAACCTGGACCTCTGAGATACAAGTGTTAACTCATTTACAAATGTTTTTATCTTGACACTCTTTAATTTCTTACCTAGGGAATGAGTAGCCTGTGAATTTTAGGGGCACTGAGAAATCCAATAAGGGATGCTCTGTAAATGATGATACTTCTTGGCAGCTACATCTTGACATTATCTGTTCAATTTTAATAACCTGTCCCTGGCTAATAACTATTTCCATGGGAATGTCTGTGTGCTTGTGTTGGGACATGAGCATGCAAGACGGAAGCAAAGATGTGAGCTAAAGAAAGAGAGGTATCATGATTACTTTTGATTAAAGAGGAGATTTCAAGTAGGTCTGTCTCGGGATGTTACTAAAACAGGAAACCAATGAATATTCCTTTATCCTGAAATCCTATAAACAGGCATTAGCATTAAATAACTTCCTAACTTGATCTAGTGATTGTCATCAAATTTCTTCTAAGGATCAAATTAATACAATGTGGCTTAAATAGCATTGACCTTTAAATACTGTTAAATCCCATTGCTATCCTTCATTTTCCCTTTTGAGTTTACATTTTTAAGTGGCATTAAAGCTACATATACTTAGAAATATTTTTATCTTTTTTTCTTTTACTAACCAAGGACAAATATAACAAAACAGTACTAAAAAGTAAAGAATGAAAGGTTTGGGGCATTTTAAGAGCCAGGGACAATAGATGGTAGAGAGATACAGGGGTGCAAGAATAGTCTACATCACTAAAGATAAGATAGGCTGTGAGTACACAGCAAAACTGAATTGTGTATTGTAGAAAACACAGACTTTCAGAGCTGGAGTAGATTGAAGTTCAGATGCTGCCTACACAAAACTAGAACCCATACTCACCTATATGCACAACTGATTAAGACTTAACTTTGTGCCACATTTCAGCATGTTAATCCCAGACCTCCCAGCATCCTGGAAACATTGCTGTAATCATTTTTACAGCATCCTGTTTGTGGAGTTAGGTTACAAATATTATGGGTCCTGTTATACAATTGAAAAGTTGAGTTGAAGGGAGGTTATGCAGTTTGCTCACGGTTGGAAATTGGTAATTGAGATCAAGTGCAAACTGGAATAGACCCAGAAAGAGTTCCTCCCAGGATATCTTAGAGGTGTCACTCCAAAATCCTTTCAGGGATTTATATATGCTATTCCCCAGGGCAGTGAATTCAAAAGTGCTAATGGGCATCTTCTATGAGGCAATTGTATAAGTAGGTTTTTTTTCTTTTGAGAACAGGTACTCGCTGTTACTTTAGATTCTTCTACATTTTCGGAGGGGTAGAATTAATGACTGATTAGTCTAACACTGCATACAGCTCACATTTAAAGTCATAGACACCACTTTGCAATACAGATTTCTACAACTTGGCAATGCTTCCTGAAGAAGTTTATTATAATGCAAGGAAATTTCGGGGCTTTCTGATGCCCACTGTCTAGGTTATAGTTTCTTTTCATTCAAAAGGAAACTTGAGAGGAAACATTAAAATACACTCACAGTACACTGTGGACAAGTTTGGGCTTGAAAACCTTCATAATGTTGTCCTTATTCTGTGGTTATCTTCATCACCAAGTAAATCTCAAGAGCTTCATATAAATGGATTTAAAACATTTTTGTGGTTTCTCATACTTCAACTTTCTTCCTCACTGGCAGTCCAGTGAATCTACAGGAAGTGAAGGAAAGGGAAAGAAAACCTGAAATTGTGTAGTTACTCACATAGGTGAGGCCCATGTCTCTGACCGGGGCCAAACATGCCACTTTGGAGAGTAGACATTTTCAAGGGTGAAAAGAAGATTAGAAATTAGCCTGAGATTTCTGATCCAGTCATTTGCAATGTCAGTCATACTATTTTCTAAGTTTTAAAGCTATTTTTAGATGTGTCTAAAATGTTGACAGTCCCAACAAGTTCTCTGGATAATATATGGCAAATTTTACTATTTTATCAAAAAGATGGCAGATATTTTATTCCCTGAACCAAAAATGTATATTCTTTTTAAAATACATTGCTGATTTGTGTGTTTACACTATTACTCATATGATAAATAATCAACAATAATAATTTTATTATTTTTAAGCACACACAATATGTATACATAAAAAATCTTGTTTAATAATTCTAACAAATCTTGAATGTAAACATTATTACTATTATTTTGCCTATGAGAATAAGAATAGTCTAACTCCTGTTTTACAGTTAACACACTGACAGAATTGCCTAACACCAAAGCATGGGGTTAAAATTAAAATAAAAAGAAGGAAATCGAGCTGTTATCCATACACTTCTCCATACAATTAATCTGGAGAGATGAAAGTAATTATTATTAGTTTGTTAAGATAATCTATACAATAGGGTAGAACTATTAGGCCCAATTTTCTGATGAAGGCTGAGGTTCACAAAATTGTAAATTATTGACATGAATTTTTTGATATTGAGTAAGTATTAAGTAGCAGAATCAGGACTGTGTAACTTCTCACAATGTGTCTTTCCTTATTGCTTAAAATTAAACAAAGAGAAAATCATGTCATTCTGATTCTAATCAATATAATCAAGGCAGAATTTCTATAGGATGTACTGCTTTTATTCCAATAGTTAGTTAGTATAAAACTACCCAATTTGTGTATGCCAGTTTGGGGATATTCAAATGCCCTTGGAGAGAATTGTGCAATAGAAATACAGGTAATGGGCCAGCAGGGTCTGATATGAAGTAGCAGTATTTACTTTGTATTGAATTTTGGAAAGGTTTTTTGCATCCTAAATTTAAGGACTTTGAAAGTTTAGAATTAGAATAACCTCTTGAACTAAAATCTGACTACAATATTCCTCCAGGTTCCATTACAAATTCAGAGTCATCTTACTCTGGGGATTCTTCATTCCCTTGACTGGCCAGTGAATTTCTTCTGCATCCTCTCACCTGCAGGTGGGTCAGTGGAACAGCTGAATATCTCCATGCATTAGGTAGGTCAGAAATAATGAGATTGGTGGATTGGCAGATGGACATGATAGATGAATGGATAGATGATGGATAGATGATGGATAGAAGATAGATAGATAGATAGATAGATAGATAGATAAGCTAGATAGAATAAACAGATGGATCCCACTCTGGATCTGACATTGGCTTGTTGTGCCATTGACTTTTCAGCCCTAGTAGGCTCTTAAGAGCTAATGCATTTTCTCACTCCACACATGGGTCCTCTCACAGCAGGCCTTCCATAGCAAAAGTGTTTCAGAAATCCCAGTTTACCTTCATTTGTGTTATCTACATTTCACCTGGATTTTCCACTCAAGTTCATTTTTAGGCCAAGAGCCCAGCAGTGTTATTCTTTTAATTTTATATACCCACAGAGCTGAAACATTTGAAGTACAAGCGTGGGACTGTATACTTTTCAATTAGATGTTGGCAACACAAACACTCACAGACACTAACTGGCACAGAACAACTACCATTCTCTTAAATTAATGGATATACTCTGATGGCATACCCAATGGTACAGCAATTTGGGAGCCTCAAGAACTATAGAAACCATGGAAATTATAGTCCACTGCACAACAAGAAGTCCTTTAGAAAGATTTTGCACAATTAGCTTATTTCAGAAATTAAGAATGCCAATTGGATCAATCAGCCAAATCTTGGCAGGACATTGATACTAATTGCCTTTTGTCACTATTTAGTTGCCTCTCTGTTTCCTTGGGTATAAAGAACCAGAGAAAAATATTGCTTCTTACAGGAGTCAATAAAGATTTAAACTAAAGCCAATTTACTTGAGAAAGCACAGGGCCACAAGCCTACTTTTCCCCCAAACTCTTGAACTCTGTAAATTTTAAACATCAAGTTATTTTTTTCCACATATAAAGTCTAATTAAACATTCTATGTCTACATTTGGATGTAAGATTTCTTTGTGTAAGGGCTTATAACTACATATCAAATTTTAATCTATTGCTATTATTATTATTTGCAAATTTCTAGTAGTCATTTTTATGGTCTACAACCATGGGTGTTATTGTTCCCTATCCATCTTATAATTTCAACTAAATCAAGCAATGAAAATTTTATAGTGCATCCCTAATTGTGCACCAGACTGGAACTGTTCATACAAATTCCAAGCAATTGTAAGGCTTTCTGGGAAACATTGGCAGCAAACACTAGATTAAATGTTTATAACAGCAAGCCAGATGGGAAACAGAGATAAGGAAAATCTCATGGAAACGTTTTTTTTTTTTTTTTTCCCAAACCACAACACTGTTTTAAATTAACCTGGCCAAGGGAAAACATTTTCACATTGTTGACCAATAACAAGTTTTTGGTAAATAATAGTCTTTAAATTGTGGGAATAGTTTCACAAAAACATAACCATTTGTGTCATCTGTGACCAATGTTACAAACAGATACCAGATAGAATTGATGGGTGGCTCCAAGGATGTGTTAAAATGCTAATTTAAAAAGTTGATACTTTGAAGCTAAAAATGTAGCATATATCATATGAGAAGTGGGGGGAAATCTCATGGAAATATTTAGCTGTACTTGAGAATGTCTGACATGGAGACTGTGGTGCATAAATAGGCTAGGCAAATTCTGAAAAAAATCCATTTGCTGCTTGAGAATTCAGGTAGAAGTCTGCCATTTTTAAAGATAAAAATCTATCTCTTAATGGAATTGGGCAATAAGTGTCTCACCCACTTGAGCCTGTGCTTGCTTCCTTTCATGTGATTACAATGTTCTGAAAGTTAACAAAGGTAGATTTACAGTGAAGATACTAACACTGAAATATATATATAGTGTATGTGTGCGCGTATTTGCGCACACGCGCACTACTGTGATTTTCTCTCCCTCACACTTCCTTTTTTTAGGTGATATTGGAGTGAACATGAGCATTTTTGGATTGTGTCTAAATGGAACTTAAATTTGAAAGACATTTGTTTGCTTTGTTCGTATGTATTTTTGTGTGATGTAGACAGATCCATGAACAGTTAACTTATTGATATTTTACAAGTTTGGAAATGGCTTTTGGGAATAGTCTTGCCATTCACTGCACCTAATCACTTAAAAAAAATGAAGGTACATGTTTTACCATAACTGACATATCCCATGGAGAAGAAACAAAGTTTAAATTGCAGATAGAAAGGAGTTGGTCTATGGAATATTTTTCCACTCAATAGTTTATGGGATATTTTCCCATTTAATAGTTGTGTAAAATATTTTCAAAGCTTAAAATATGTATGTATATAATTTTTAAAAATAAAACCTCTAAGTTATATTTCTTAAAGATTTTGAAAAAATAAGGTGTAAAATTATTCAAAAAAAATCACAAAAGCTCAAAGACATTATTATAACTGCTATTTGGAAAGATAGTTTGGAATATTCAATTAAAACAAATGAGAAGTTACAGATTCCTGATTTGGACATATATGAAGAGTATCTTCTTTTTCACTTTTAATTTTATCATCAAATGATTTGAGAAAATGTTAATATAAAAATAATAGGTTATGTCATATAAGGGATAAGGATGAGGAATGAAATCAATAGAAATTATTCTGATCTTAAGAAGGGAATTTGACATATCAAAAGAAGCAATTTATTAAGTTGAAGAGACGAATTTTGAATAGAAGAAATGATCAAATCCTGAGATTAGTTTGAATCTAACAATGAAGATAAATGAATTATATGAATACATTTGGGAAAATATTTAAATTTGTTGCTGTATAAATGAGCTCTTGCTTGCTGTATTATAATTCCCCAAACCTAATGGCTTATATACTCTATAGGCCAAATCTGGCCCACAGCCTATTTTTGTACATCCTGCGAACTAAGAACAATTTTACATTTTTAAATATGTGTTGAAGAAGAAGAAAGAAGAAAAAAGAAGAGAAGGAAGAAGAAGACAATGAACAACAACAGAGACCACAGGTGGCCCAGAAAGTCTAATATACTGAATTCTTGCCAACCTCTATTTTAAAACCAATTTATTGAACTCAGCATTCATCATGTTGGTGATTTTAGGATGGGCTCAGTTGGGCTGTTCTTCTGCTGTCCTGGTCTTGGCTGATCTCACTCATGTGTCTGCAGTCAGCTGGGTGGGTGGGATTACCTAAAGACTGGTTATCTGATACACCATCCCTTATAGGTTTGGTGGCAGGTGAACAGTCAACAGAAATGACAGAGTGAATGGGCCACAGTCTCTCATTATTCAGAAGACAGGTCAGGGCTTATTCTTAGGATGATAGTTTCAGTGTTTCTAATAATAGCTAGCCTCAAATTGAAGTGCCTTTCTGGCCTTAGCTTAGACCGTATTTGGTAATAGTCCATCAAAGTAAGTGCTGTAGTTAGGTTCAGTTACCTAAAGCAGAGAGAGATGCTATGAAAACAGATGGATGAATAAAAAGGAAAAAATTGTGACCACTTTTATCCATCATACTTGTTGATTTGATGTGAAATAATAACAAAGAAGATAATGAAAACTAATCATATGCCATTGCTATAAGCACACTGATAATTAACTGCTAAATAAGTGATGTCAATTTAATGACTAAGATCAGTCACACAGTAGAAAATTTGAAATGTCCTGAAACTTTTCTGTTTTTATAAGAAAGAAATTTGAAGAATTCTTTCCCAAATTGACCACAGTTCTTTGATTTTATAAGTAATTATCAATAACTAGTGAATTTGAATGAATTTTTGCTCAACTATCAATAATAGAAAACATGATTTAGCATGACTAATCATGATAAGAGAAAATGAATTATTTTCTTTTTTTGAAAAGTTCTTACAAAATCATTGTTCAGTTAATAATGAAAACATTTATAAAGCAAAAACATGTAGGAGAAAAATGTATATATAGACATGTGCTGGGTATTTCATCTAAAAGTGTTTTTTGGATTTTGTGAGGTGGATAGTATTTTTTTACTTTGTGAAATTTGTAATTTATTATTTTTTCCTATTCTAAAACATTTATTTTCCTATCTAATTTTAGATATATACTATTGCATTCTTTTATTATAAAAAGCCTACAAAGTTTCCCAATTTCAGGCCCATGCCTGAATCTACCCAGGAAAGCACCAGGAAGTGTTCCAGCTCCAGAAGCCTAGGTCTGTCCAGGACAGCAGCTGGTGCAGAGGGAGGAGGGAGAAGAAAAAGAGTTACAACTCCTTGTGTGATCCTGTGTGGTGGTATTTGGCATCCTGCATTTTCTTGTCAGTTCCAAGATTAATTAAAAAGCCTTTGGTAATCTTTTCTGCCCTCAATCATGACACATGCAAATATCAGCTCTAGGGTAATCAGATCTCTATGGTTTTGAAGATGGCTAAACTGATAAATTCAAATGCACATTTACTTTTGTTATCCCTATTCCTATTTCTCTATCAATTGCCCCCTGCCTTGAAGTGTTATTCAAATGAGATAAGAAGTGGATTTCAGTTTGACAAGTGGAATAAAAATGTTTCTGAGAGACTGTATAATTTGCCCATGGTTACATGGTACATGAGGGAAGACAAGATGGCAAACAATCTGTGTGTATTACTGAGGACCATTTCTTCCCCATCTCTTCCCTCTTTATTCTTTCAATGCAAAGGGGCTCTTCTCTGAAATGATGAGAAGCATATCTTCTATAGGAATGGCATCTTTCTTATATGCTCATCATTGCTCATTCAGAAATCCTGAAAAAATAGGGAAAACAGTTTTTAAAAGGGACAATATTAAATGTTAGTATATGCTGAGTATCTAATTGTAGCACATAATTCTTCACATGTGAAGATTCAAGTAGGTGATTTTAAGGGAGTATATGGTATAAATAAAGAGATTTGTTGTTGGGGGCAATTCAGAAAGGAAGGAGGAATGATGAGCAATGGCTGGTAGGTCATATTTATGGATATGGTTTTATTTAACATATTAATTCCACATACCTATCACAAAGCACAGAAGATCCCAAAATGACTCTTGGAAACCATCTATTCCAAGTCCCTACATTTACAAAAGGGATACTTCATTTCCCCTAGCCCGACCAACAAATCTGACTTGCCAGAATCACACAGACAAACAGTGACAGAGTTATTAATTTTTTCCTCAGCTTTCTCTAGACTGAACTATAGTACCAATCAGATCATTACTATTCAAAACCAATAGATGCTCTTTAAAGCTATCCTTAGCTTGATTCAGACCCTAAATTTACTTCTGGTTTACTGCTATGTCCTGGTCTTTTCCAGATTTTATTCCAAACCTGAAAACTCAACTAATTCTTCATTGTTATTTTGTTGTTTATTTTCATTATGTGTATAGATAGTAATTGCACATAGAAAATATCAGTTTTTGGTAATGAATTGAATTATTCCTATTCCATGAACAGTATGAAGGCACCATCAATGAAGCTGAATGATCAGACGTTTTATCTTCAATAAAAACGTATAGTCCTTGAGGAAAGGAAGTGAATTTCATATATTACATCTTTTTTTATAAGTGTTCAGCATATGTTGGAACCTTTATATATATATATATATATATATATATATATATATATATATATATATATTTGACAGTACAAATTATGGAATCACCAGCCAGTGACTCAATACTGCCCTTACAGCTGCTAGTTATCATTATCTTTATATGTCAAATGATGACATTTTGATCCTGAGTAGATGAAAATGAGATTGGGATAAGCCTATTTTCAAATGGCTCAAAGGACAGTTCTCAATGCTACCTTCAAGAATGAATGTTTACAAGAGGAAGTGAGGGGAAAGGGGAAAAAAAAACAAGGGGGAGAAATGAATTACAGTAGATGGGGTAGAGAGAGAAGATGGGAGGGGAGGGGATGGGGGATAGTAGAGGATAGAAAAGGCAGCAGAATACAACAGACAATAGTATAGCAATATGTAAAACAGTGGATGTGTAACCAATGTGATGCTGCAATCTGTATACAGGGTAAAAATGGGAGTTCATGACCCACTTGAATCAAAGTGTGAAATATGATATGTCAAGAACTATGTAATGTTTTGAACAACCAACAATAAAAATTTTAAAAAAAGAATGTTAATAGGTCAAACATGTATAGTAATTTAATTATTTTGTCTTTTAAAAAATATCTCAAATAACCATTCTGAAAACCTAATAAAAGCAGAAAGAATAGTTATTATTACCATTTTACCATTGGGGAAATTAAGGTACCAGACATCAAATGATGAGCTCAAGGTCACAGACCACATTAAGAGTAGGACTGGGATCAAGGCCCAGATGCCATCCTGGGTCCCATGAATCTCCTTTCCTTTTCCTAAATATCTATTTTCCCAAACTATGTGTCACCATTCAAACACCCTCTTCCCGATCTAGTCTAAAATAAAAATAAATAATATTTCTGGTTTCCAAAATTATTCAGTTTTTATTTTTTTTTTAATAATTGAGTGGGCCCATGTAGTGCTTCTTTGAAATAATTAGAAAGGAATAATAGAATTCACTTCCCTCTTTCTCTCTCTCTCTCTCTCTCTCTCTCTATATATATATATATATATATATATTAATTCCACATACTATTAATATATATATTATATATATTATAATATATATATATATATTTCCTCCCCCCCCCCCGAGTGAATAATACATACCTATGAGAAATCTTTAAACAGACCTAATCATTTCCCCAAAACTTGAGGGACAAAATGGATGGGTAGCACCGTAATTTCTGCAATCATTTTATTTGATTATGAAATACATATACTCGGCATCGAAAAGCAGATGCCTGTGGATTCAAGACACTACCCATGATTGTAATAATTTTAAAAAAGGCCCCAAAAGTAAAACCTAGATAACTACCAATCTGTTACACTTATGAGCTTCTTGGTTAATATGTTCAGAAACCAATATCATTGCAATGACTCAAAGGTACCACCGGATATTTCATTTTGCTTTATATTCTTGGACAAAACATGCCTATTAAAAACTGCATGACTTTAACCTTCAGCTACATCTCACCCCTAGTTTTCCCAAGGTCATGCCATCTGACCTGAGTCCAAGGCTTCTGAGAAGAAAGCCCATAGCAAAAGGACAGAAACTGTGAGGAAATCTGGAACGATTGTGTAAGCAGATCTTAATTACTATTCTTTAGCCTAATTTAAAGTCTTTTTCTTATACTTAAAAATCCTGATATTTCAGACACGAAATTAAAATGATGCCTCAACCAAATCATAGATGTAAGTCCAAAATGCTGTATAATTGCTCCATCACCCTTAGGAGAAGTTCTGATTAAAATGAGTCACATTGACCTTGGGTGACATGGCCTAAGGGGCAATTATTCCCCAAGGGACTTAATTAAATGCAATTAGACCAGTGAGAGTACATTTAACGAGTCCCCTTGTGATACCTATATTTCTAATCTATTTTTCCAGCAACTTTCACTAATGATTTGATTCACTCAACATCTGTCAATGGATAACGATTGGGCACTCACAACTATAATGTGATGATGGAATACCTAGGTCCCATGATTCAGAAATTAGAGAGAAAATATAGACACATGTCAAGCTGAACCAGAATATAAGAGGTCATCTGTTAATAGGCCAAATGTACAATAGAGAGAATGAGCAAAATACTGTTAGAGGAAAAGGTGCTTACTGTAGGTGGAAGCAGATACAGTTGGCCTCAGGGACAACTTGAAGACTTGTAGTATATAGATAAGGATAGAATACTCTGAATCAGACTTTGATGGTGGAAAGAATTCCAGGGATCATCTTGTCTCATAAAACTTCCTCTTACACTGCTCTAGCACTCTGAAGGGGTTATGTAGCTTACTCCAAACCATCCTATTTGTGGCTTGAAGTATTTTTTAAAAGATGAGAAAAATGAGAAAGTTGAGTAGTATAGATGCATGAACTATATTTTGGGGATGATATATTGACCAGCTAAGTAAGGTAAATAGTACAGGTAAATATTGGTTGGAAAAATAAATTCAGGCCAATTTCTAAAAATGCTATGTTTTGAGTTTTGAATTTATTTTGTCAACAGAAAGGAATGTAGGCATGTACTTGAGTTGTGGATTCTTATAATTAAAGTAGTATTTTCCAAAAGATTAATCTGGTAATTATGTCCCTGATGTATTGAAAATTGTCAGGACTGAAAAAGGCCTGGATAACACTAATGTAATTACAACAACAGTCTCAGATGAGAACAGTGATCTCTAATAATATTAAGAGAAGCCAAGAGCATTAGGAATAATATCAAGTATAATGACTAGGTTTCAGGTAAGGTTGTCAGGAGGTGTCAGGCAGTGGTGATTGTCAGATGGGAACCAGAGTAGAAAACTGAAGGATCAAGGGGCCATTGAGAGGAAGAGGCATGGGCCAGGACTAGAGAGTTCTGGAAAGGCCCAAGAGCTCAGTCAGAAATGAGCTAGTGTCTAGGAAAATAATTCAGAATGGAAATGAGCCTGGGCACTGCAGACCAGAGCAAGGTAACAGCAAGGCTGCAGCAAGCAGGCAGAGATCAGGTGGGCTCAGACATGAGGAAGGATATAGCATGCCCCAAGGAATGGCCAAAGTCAGAAAATTTGGAATGGACTCAGATTATAACCCAGACCTGCTGACTAAGCAGCATCAAACAAAAAGATTCTGTGAGCAGAGAAGTCTAGAATTCAGCTGTGAGTTCACAGATAATTGTGGAGGCCCAGCATTAAGCAACATTGGTACTGCCAATGGGAATATCCCAAAGGCAGTTGAAATGTTTTCTTATGATATCTGAAAATCTGGAGAAGCTTGAAAGAAAGGAAGACAAGGAAGAAACAAGTGGAAATTTAATGTTTAAAAGTATACAGAAGTAATCACAGAAAAAAAAACTACAGGAATTTTTGTACAGTAGCTATTTTAGTAGTTAGTACTGTTTTTATTCTTAATTATATGGTTGGGTTGGGGAAACACAGTGGAAGCAGAACATAAAGTTGTTGGTGATACTAGGTGTACTTCTCTGGTACTACTGGATATTGAAGAAAACTTTGCCCCAACTGAAAAGTAGCTTAGATGTTCCTTGCTATGTTAATAAGGAACTATCTTACCCAAGAACTGCAGAAGAAGTAGGATGGAGAGGGAATTCATCCAGGTCTGAAGACAATGATTTATTTCTTTGGAGAATAAAAAAGGAGAACAGCAAATAAGGTGGAACTGGGTTCCAGGAAGAATGGTGAGTTTGCATTTTGTCCAGTTTCATGTGGAACTGACAGAAGGTCCTTGAAAGAAAATTTTTTACTAGCCCCATAAAGATGCAAACTAGCTGGAAATGCAGATATTTGCCATCACACATGAACTGAAAATTGAAAGTGGATGAGAGAAGCATCTTTGCTTATTATTGCTAGTCACATCAACTGTTATTTAAACAAAATTGTTTCTGTTACTTCATTTTGAAGATGTCCACTCATTCTATACTAACAAGAGCATGAATGGCTATGGTAGACTTTGGCTTCAGCTACACTGGCTCATAATTAGATATGCAACTATTGAGGCTGTCAGTTGCCAACAGAACTGGAAGTATCATATAGATTAAAAAGGAGACCTGCTTGCAAGGAGCTGGAGGGTCAGAGGCTAATGGCAGGCTAGTCATCAGCAACCACCAAGTATCTGCTAAACAAAGCAGTTTACAGCTCTACCAGTCAAATGAGTTAAGTCTGGCTCATGTCAGCCTTTGAAATTTCAGGGGAGATGTGGCACAAAGTTTCTCTCTTGAGGTTTTTAATATTTTCTGGTTTCTGTCTTTGCCTTTCTCATGGCATCCTGAAACTTCTACCCTATTCCAGCCTAAACTATATAACCAACATGAAAATGTAAAAGGTCAAAATAAACAAAAGTATTCTGTGGGGAAAATTGCCTTGAATAAAGATGCGTTTAAGTTTATAGAATTTCTGAATATTGAATATAGTGGCTGAATACCTCAGGTCCTCATTTTTCCACGGATGCAGCTTTAGTGCCATTAACTATGGGTGAACGATGGGGTGAGTGTGACACTGTAAATGCAGAGATAGGTCTGGGTCCATTGGCTTGGTGATAGCAAGGATGAGTGTGTTTCATGCCAGCCATGTTGAAATACACCCAATTTTGAAATGACAATTTAATATAAGCAGCCAAACATGGACTTAGTCCAACCTCAAATGTCCTACTAAAACTGTGTGATGGCTCATAAAGATAGCTCTATCTCCAGGAATTTTATGGACTAAAGCAGTATGTTGAAGTGATAGATAGCACCCCAATACCTCCATTAAAATCTCTGTTGGTGTTGTTTTGGACCACCATACAGTAGACGGGAACTAAGTACAAAGTCTTCATTTTAATTCTGATTCTGCACATGACTTAATCTTCCAATTAAAAAAAAAGTTTTAAATATAACCAATTCAAGAATATTTTTCATGCTTATAGCTTTGAGAAGGCATTTTCTACTGTCATTAATGTCCCTTTTGTAAGAATCTATAATCTTTATTGACATGTTTCCTTTCAGAATTCACTGCCATGAACACAACTCTCAAAACATCTGGCATTTTTAAAAACTTCAAATAATGAGAATCATAATGACACATTGGTTTTTCCTTTTTTCTTTAGTTTCCAGGGAGCTCAGAGCTAAAAGCAGTGCTGAATTACTTATCCCAAGTGTTAGATCCCCTTCCTATTTTTTGATCTGCATTTCCCCATTTTTAAAAATCTTTATTTTATAAGAATATTTTGGAAAGTTTTTAAGCCCTTCAATATATGGAGGCATTTTTACAGGGGTAAAAAATGTTTTTTTTTTTTTTTTAAAGCTATTTCTTTTAGCTCTTCATTATCTGGGCTTTGCCTGTTCATTGTAACTCTAGATGTGACTCTAGATGATTTTCCCACCATGATCTGATTCACTGAGTCAGTAATAGTAATATACAATGTATTATTATCTCACCAATGAGCTTACCACAGGATTGCATTCCTACTTATTATACCCCAAACTAGAAGAAGGTGGATTGAAGGTGGGAGGTCAGAGAAGGTGAGATGCAGGAAGAGCAATAGAGGAGTATGTAATCCCATGAACGAATGAGAATAAAAGTGTTTTGAGTAATATTCATCAAATATTGTCAAATTCCTTTTATCTCTGGTGATCTAACATCCCCATTAGCATTTATAAGTGAGAGGGTGTTATAATGGCAGTGCTTTGGGATTTCACAGAGGAAAGAGAATATATGAAATTTTGATCATACACAAGATCCACTGAGGCAAATGCTAAAATCGTCTTGTAGATAATTAGATGTATTTTGAGTCTATACTTGATCTTAGGTACTAAAATGTTTTGCTGTTATACAAATTCTTTTGATCTTTGCAATTTTTGGATTGAATATAACCATTTTTAGGCTATTTCAAGATAAAATCAACTATGAGATTTATAACTGCTAATGAAATCATAGGGTACCCAACAAAACAAACTTCTGCATTGAGGTTTAACTGATCTTTTAGGTCCGAAATTTCTGTGAGAAATTATGAATGAATTTATTCAATGAGAAATAAAATCACTAAAATATGCTGATTTCTTTTACTGTCTAAGAACTGAAATAATACTCATATCTTCAAAGAAGAAGGAAAAGTCATTTTTTGTCTTTCACTGAAATTTAAAAATAGGAATTGAGATTTTTGTTGAACTTTCTTACATAGAAAGAAGAAGGTGATGTTCAGAAAGTAATATTGCATTTTGAAATTGATGTACATTAAGAAACAATAATGTACCCAAATCATTATTAATAGCAATCTCCAGGTTTTGTAAGACTGATAGAAGAAATCCAGCAAGAAAGGACTGCTAAAATATGGATGCTTATTTTAACAGTATTATTTCTTCTTCACTGAGAATTCTTAATCTTTTTGATGCTGAAAATTCCCCCTAAGCATTAACACAGATGGAGTTTATATAATGCTGTAGGATCTCTTCATTTATATAGAATTTACCTTTCAAATGTATCAAATAAACAGGGCCAGTTTTTGTTAATTGGCCATCTTATTGACTAAACTCAATGAATTAAACATTCATTTCACTGTCACTTTAAAAAGATTACCTATGGTATTCATGATCTCTGAGACTCAGTGATCCTTACTGAAATCCAATGCTTGAAAACAAAAATGTCTGTCTTTAAGGAGCACAGGAATCTTATACAAAGCTAATTCATTTTAGTTCATTTTTACTCACTTATTCAACAGACACTTTTAGAATACTTACTGAGTTCTGATGGAGACAACTATGAACCAATTAGACCTGTTAGTTCTTTTGTCCTAGGTTTTATGGCTAGAGGTGGTAGGTGACTTTCTTGTTACAGTAAACTTAGGGCAAGGCTAGAAGTTTATATAAGGGTATGGGGGCCATGGGATCCCTAACTCATAAAGTGGTCAGTGTGGGAACAGAGAACCATAGACAGAGCTTCCCAAAGAAAATGAACAAAGCAACTGGAAGGGGTGATGGACAGAGATTGATGCAAGCAGTGGGACCAACAAGAGGAAATGGTTGGCCTGTGTGGAAGAAACACAGGGGACACCTGTCCCAGAGGCTATGATTCTGCCCATCAGCAGGAACAGGAGCCTTCTAAAGAGGGGATTCAAAGGCTACATTCCATGTGTTCTCGGTTGGAGTTGTAATTTACGTATTAATTTGGGAGATAGTCATCTCTGAGATCTTCTGGTGCCATCCCCAAAGTCTGAATTACTTTGTTTTTAGGGTGGGTGTGTGCTCAAGAACAGATAAATCTGTCTAAAATGGGGAAGAAAGGTCTGGTTTTCCCCAATATTAGGGGGGATATGTTAGGGAGAAGCAGAGATAGAGGAAGAGAAAGAAACATATCCATTTCAAAAATAAGTTGCAGTGGCAGAGCATCAAGGGCTACATTCAAAGCATAATGTGGACCACTGTTACAGGGGATCAAGACCACAGGAAGGGAAGCATTTTAGTGATAAGGTTGGACTATAACTAAAGCAATTGTGTTGACAAACTATGCAAACTTTAAGTGATATTCATAATCTAAATTGATAGGAGATAATAATATTTAATGATGTTTTGGTTTGGGGTTGGAATGACCCCCAAAGACTCATGTGTTTAAGGCATGAATGCAGCAACGTTCAGAAGTAGAACTTTGGAGGAGTCATTGGATCATGAAGGTGCTGCTGACTTCATCAGAGGATCTATCCATTGGTGTATTAATAATTGTATGACATTAGAGGGAAGTGATGGAAACCATAGGAGATGGGGCCTAGTTGGAAGAAGTAGGTCTCTGGGGGAATGCCTTAGAGGGATATTTCTAGTCTCCAGTCTCTTTCTCTGAGTCTCTTTCTGCTTCTTAGCTACCATGAGCTGAGCAGCTTTCCTCTGCCATGTCTTGTCACCATGATGTTTCTGCCTCAGAGCCAGGTGACCTGGACTAAAACTATATAAGAACAATTATTTTTTTCCTCCTCTAAGTTGGTTTCAACAGATATTTGTCACATCACCAAAAATCTGGCTAACAAAAACAATAAGATGGGGAAGGAGAAGGAGGAAGAAAGATTAGTTAAAGATGGGACCCAAATATTACAGGGCAGTTAGGTGGAAGGTAGTGATTTTTCATTGTGCAAATAATGTAGGAGGAAAGACAGGGCTAGAGGACAGATGATTAATCTATTTGGGGTATACTAATTTGGGATTGTCCTTGAGATATGGACAAATGAAAAATTCTTTCAGAGAAGAACTAAAAGTTATCAATCTATTAAATAATTACAATCTTGGAAGAGTATTTTGATAGATAAGAATTAAAACCATGGAAGATATCTAGGAAAGGAAAATACAAGCTGAGAAAGTGTCTAGGATTGAGAATTAAAGGGAAAGTACAGATTTAGGAAACCCTGGATTATTGAGAAAGTACAGCTAAAGAGGCTCAAGACAGTCAAGGGAAGTGAATAGTTCAAGAAGTAGGAGGTGATCAGCCATTCAAATATCTCAGAGAATTCAAGTACGATAACACTGAAAAGTACATACTTTATGTACTACCTAAGATTTCATTGGTGACTATAGATAAAGGCCATTGCATTTGGTTAGCAGAGGCAGAAACTGTATTTGAGAAATACTGGCCAAAGAATACCCCCCAATCCACCCCCGAAAAAAGTTGATGGATATAGGCTAGTAAATAAGAAGAGGTTTCAGAAAAGTAAAAAGGTGTAATTGAGATCCCAGGAAAGATGGGTGTTAATGGATTCCATGCCATTTATCAAGGGTTTAGTTATAAAAAGAAGTAGAAATCCTGCTTCCATTTGTATTTGACAAGAAAAAATTATAAAAAGGTAAGTGTGGAAAATTTGAGATTTAAGTGGCAACAATCTGAAAATTTTCATCCCAATGGCTCCTATTTCTTTGTGAAACAGGAGGCGAAGGGTAAAATTATATCCTAAGAGTGAGGAAGTAGAGTTGAGGAGGGAGAGTACAGATAGGGAGGATTGAGTGAGGGAAATTAGAGGAAAGTAAAAAAAAAAAAATTTGACATAGTTGTTGGAAATACAGGGTCTGGGGCCAGGGAGAGCACATTCAGGAAATATATGATTGCAAGAGGTACTGAGGATTAAGATGTTAAGAGTAAAGATCACAAATTTTTAGAGTCACAATTTTCAAGAGTTCTGATGCTGTTTGGAAGGACTTAATTGCCTAAGCAAAGACCCAGAGGAGATGGAAAGATGAATGGCTGAGGGTGAGGCATTAGAATTGAGGGTTAGAAAAATCACAAGAGTCAGTTTGACGATGTAAACCGTGTTGTCACTCTTGGGTGGAAAAAGCAGTGAAGCCTGGGTGTGGCTAACAGCAGGGTTCAAGGTATTAGAAGTCTCAGTGGGGCAAAGAATAAGTCTTTAGAGTGACTAATCAGGAAACAGTAAAATTGGGGGGGTGCTGCATGAAATTTACTGTTGGTAGAGGAACAGTTCCACATGATGACAATGTGGGCTGTGTCTAAGAGGACAGATGGCTGGAGTGAAGTAGAGGCAAAGGTCTCTCTGGGTATCAGGGGAGTCATCCACACAGGTGTTGCCCAGGAGGAATTTAGTGTGTGAGTCAGGGTGGAACTATGAACAATGTGCTAGGCTTGCTAATAAACTGACAAGAGGGATGAAATGCAAATTTGTAAAAAGATACTGAAGAAATGATAGTCTAGGGAACCAAGTAAACACCAATCTCAAATCTCTTCCCTAATCTAGGAAAATGAGCAGATTCTCCTAGTGAAGATATCAGTGACTCACCATCCTAAAAAGAGAGCCTCTAGCAAGAAGTGTGAAGAATTGAGACTTTAGACAAAATGGAGTAACATAACTTACTCAAAGTCTTCAAACAAGGAATTGTTAGGGTTTTGCCCACATCTACTGATAGGCAAGTACCAATAAGCACTGAAACTGCCTGGAGTTTTTTTGTGACTGCAGGAATGTGCTCCCTGCCCCTGCCTTACCTTACGTGGGGCAAACAGAATGGATGGGAAGGCTCACACCGGCAGGCTTAGCAATTAACAAATGGTGGAAGGAGAGAGTGGATACATGTTCTCAACTTTCTTTGTCCCAAGATAGGACAAATGTTCTGTTCAGTTTTCTAAAGTCCCCAAAGGCTACAGTTGTTACAGCAGTAACTTGTTCATTAATTCACCCTGCACTGGTCTCCTTCCCTTGTCTGCCTCACCCCCATTCTCTTAGCTTCCTAGAATTGGGATTGTCAGTTAAGATGCAGAATGCCCAACTAAATTTTAATTTTACATAAATAACAAATTATTATTTTTATTACATGTCTGATATATCGTATAGACTGTAACTTACACTAATTTATTTTTAGTTTATCTGAAAGTATATCTGAACTTTTACATTTTTCTTTATAAAATCTGTCTAACCTATCTGAGACTGCCTTTCAAATTCTCTACTTGTTTTCATATCCTTGCCTCAGGGTCTGCTTCTGATGGATTCTAAACTAAGACAGTCAATGGCTATCCTGGAGGGATGAACTTTAAAGAAGAAAAGACTCTGATAACAAACTTCAGAAGCAACATCATACAGCAAGATTCAAATCAGATCAAATTTATAAAGGGCTATTGCTCTAATTCTGGCTATAAACTCAAATTACCAGGAAAAGCCTACAAAGCCAACCTCAGCACATTTTGTCTGATTTGTAGAAGCCATCACCTCATCAGAAAAACACCTGTTACCCAGTCACCTTTATTAAACTCAATGCCAAGTATCATTAGTACAGTTATGCTGTGATAATTTTCTGTTCATTCCATCACCAAATGTTCTAAATGTCTATCACTGGAAAACAGCCTCTCTTTCAATAAAATAACTGGGTAAGAAAAGAGTTTACTGCATATTGTTTGGACCCTCCATGAGTCACCATTTCCCAATATTGGGTTTGATTACATTAACACTGGGGATCCCAAATGCATTATTGTTAATGAATTTTCAAACTGACACCTGGGTTTTGTTTTTAATAGTTTAATTAAAATCCCAAGTGTTTACGTGTTGCTATTCCTCCTGAGTGAGCCCTCTGCAAATTCTGGGTGGGATCTACTTTATCCATTTACCCAACCACATTATCAACATTTTGCAGGCTGATATTTGCTAAGCCCCAAATCCTTATTTCCATGATTCTTGTTTTTATTGCTTTATTTCTTCCAAGCCTTGATGGAAGTATGGTTTCATTTGTTCGTCAGTGCAAAAATAAGCTGTTTAGAGCATCTACATCTCCCCAACATATCGGGTGATTCCTTTGTGTCAAATTTCAATAGCAGAAGTTCACTTTGTTTATTACTTTTGTTCATGTGCTGTGCATACAAATAACTGGCACTAATAAGAGGTTGTACTCAATTCAGGTATAAAATTTGTTCAAGTATTGAACAAAAGTGTTAGTTTAGGAGTATATTATAACTTCTGTGAATATTTAAAATGATGTCCTATTGGTGCTGTCTAATTTAGGCATTCATATTATTGTTCTTTTAATGCAATGCTTGGCTTGATAATTTTTTTCCTTATGACAGCAACAGATAGCACTACTCTTTGGTAGTATTAGAAAACCTGAAGGTGACAAAGAACACTTGAAAGAAAATGATTCTCACTTTCTATGCATTCACAGGCATAGAAAAAAAAAAGGAATTTCCATGTTAAGTTTACTGATTCCAAAGTGTCTTTTTAGCAACACTCAGAATGCCGGAGAGTAAGCTATGTCCTGAGTCCTTGACTTTGCTTCTGTTAAATACTTGCTTGAAATCTGTGAGGTGCTGGCTAAAAGAAAATCAATAGGTGGCAGGCAGAGACAAGTGTCTGGTCTGAAACTTCCATTTTGGAGTAACTACAAAACCAAGTAGAGCCTGGGGAACTGGGCACCATCTTTCCAATGAATCATCTTCCGAAAATGAGAACTCAGATCCAGCCTAGAAGGAGAATGTCTACAAAGGAAGCTCTTCAGTGTTCTTATTCCTCTCCCCTGCCTGTGTTAGCTCCACCATTTTGAAATCTCAGGAACCTGGACCTATGCCAGAGTTTTAAGGAAAATATCTCCTGATTCACAAATCATGAAATTGCTTGGATATAAATGAGATGTCAACGTGCATGAAGAGAGCTATCTTCATTTGATTTCATTTTACATTCCTGATGGCAGGTCAGGATTTTCCCTATGGAATGAATGAAAGGAAGAAACCCCTCCCAGAAGAGTTTCTAAGGGTCACATCCAAAAGGATGCAGAGTTGCACAGAATCCTCCTATCTGCCTCATTCTGAAGCCTGCATAGTTCTAATAATCAAAAACCAGATGGTTTTTCCATGTGCAATGCAGGCTGATATGTAATTGCAACAACCATGATACTGCTGTCCCCTTTCATTGGTCCATGTGGTTGACTCTATGATATATTTGATTATGACACAATAACTTAGATTGATTTCATGAGGGGCCACTGTGATAAGGTATGCCAGGCTCTATATCCCACCTATGGCAGAGGGCTTACTACCCAGCCAGCTGTTTCTAATTCAGCTGGATAATTAATTTTACTTAACTTTAAACACATTCTGAGCAATTTTTACATCATTTAGAGTTTAGACTATGTTTCATGAAATAAGAGCAACTAGCCAAGATAGGTGAACATTTAGACAATATGGGAATTTATCATCCTGTGGGATAAGCTACTTGGTTATTTCATGGAATTCACAGACCATTTTTAAAAATTACTTTTTATTTTCACAAACCAATTTTATCACTTGAACTTAGCTTGCTGCACCAATGTTTGCCAAGATGAAAGCTCTTTCACAATGCTGTCTTCAGACCATAACTTTTAATCCTTCATGCTCTCTCACCTTCATAAGGTTTTTGAAAGATCTAAGTTGAATACTAAGAATTCATAGGCATTTTTCTTAAAGTTTTCTGAACCCCCTGCAAGCCACTTGCCACTGTTTGTAGAGCACTCCTCAGAGTATTCTGGAAGCCAATTGTTGATGTGCAGTTTTTCTAAAGACTTGGGACAAGGGCTACATCATTTTAATCTGGGGACTGACTCTTTTGAGCAAGTCCCAGATAAAGTTAGTGATTTACAAAAGCTTTTATCCATCTCCTGATGGCTTTTACAGAGTGGAACACTACATGACCCATGTGATTTGTTTTCATTTACAAAGGTGCAGAGGCTTTGAATTTAAAAATGGAATGTTTTCTTCTCGTGCCAAATGTAAACAATTTAACATCCATTTCCCATCCAGCTATTTTACCAGTTCAAAGAGTTTATATGAATCTTATCTGTATTATATTTCCTGCTGATTGGCAGTGCCTCCTGCTTCCGCTGGGAAGCCAAAAATGTGCTGGCTCGGATTTGAACAGGAAAGGAATAACAAAGAAAACTGGGAAATAAATGTAATGAGTGGTTATGGGGTGCTGAAAACTATACTTATCGTTTCTTATTCTTGTGGAGTTGGTGCTGCCATATTGATTTGTGCCTGGGAAGTCTTTTATGGAAATGTACAACAAAAGCTTCAGAGTATTTTGTCAACAAGAAAATACAGTTTACTCTATCTTCAAAGTCCCCATCTAGTCCTGATTTGAACAATTCCATATTCCTTGCTGCTGGGATCTCCCTGAGCTCTGGAGGAGGTTTGCATTGGATACAGTAATTCACCATAAAACATAAGAGCCCCACAATGTCACAGAGCATGTTTTCAAGGCCAGGGAAACAACTCTGCAAGGACGGTGAGGAGTCTAGAGGATGAAAAGAACTGTGGCTATTCCAGGACAACTTAAAGTCGGTTTACTGAGCCCTTGAGACCCATTTTTTCCTCCTTCCAGAATGTGAAAGACATTTATTTGGCCTATTGTTTGAAGGCCTTAAGTCTTTCTCACATTCAGGGCCTGCATGATTGGAAAGGAGAAGAGGAAAAGAGCAAAAACAGCCGTCTAGACATTTCCTAGTGGAATATCATATTTAGAAACCATTTTCCTTGCCTTGTCCTAACAATACATTATGAACTGAGAAAAAGTTAGATTCCCAAACTTAGGTTCTATTGTAAGGAAGAAAGGCAAGATGTATGAAAATTTTTTTAAAAAATTAACAATCAATTTTTGCTTTAAGCTCACATTGACCATAGTTTCTGTCAAAGGCACTTCTGTAGCTGTCCTTTCCAGAATGTTCCCACCTTCCCCAGCCCCACATTCCCTTATACCCACCCTTTACATCACCCACAAATTTTGCTGTATTCTCAAGCCTCAATTTAATGAACTTCCCATATGTATGGAGAGTATGTTATTTATTTTTCACTAAATACCCTAACCAAAAGGTGATATCATGACTATCACTACCATATAATGGTTGGCTGTTTATAGTAATGGTAGGGCATAGTTATAAGATAATGTTAGTCCTGACTAAAGAGGAGCAGTGTGAACATGCATTCTGAAGCTGTATAGGCAAAATAATGGTAGAAAGAGCAAAATAGAATACCCAGGTTCTAGTTTGTGAGGAAGCATGTAACATCTCTGAGCCTCCCTTTACTCATCAATAAAATGAGGGCACAGAGTCTGATAATCTGGAAAATATCTGCTTTTAAAGTTTTCTTTTTAAGTTTTTGTGTGATTGTTGCATTTCTGGGAAACTCTTTCCCTGAAAGTCACTTCCTGGCATTAGATGCCCTTACTATGAGGAGCACCAAGTGATTTCCTAGAAGACACATGTACTGATCTTCATTTTTATAATTCCCTTTGTTGAATGTTTCCTACCCTCCTGTTCTTTTATTTGCTGCTTGCCTTTCTCTCCCTCTCTCCCCCAACCCCTTTTTCTCCTTCAAAAAATATACTGATTTCCTTCCCTGCATTTATACATGGTTACCATTGGAAAGGTCATTGATTATTTGGACAATGACAACAAA